GTGGGGAGCTGCCACTCTGCCTCTCCGCGCCCCACTCGTCCAGGAACCCACCTCTGCGTGGGCCACAGGGTCCTCCCTCCTGGGAACTGCTCTGGACTGTCTGCTCTGGCCCGAGGCTTTGCACTGGCCCTGGCGGCGAGGAGGACAGGACCTCAAGGAACAGACACAACCCCCAAAGCGCATGACTGCTGGACAAAGTAGAAACCAGACTGTCTTTAAAAAATGTTTTAAATTATCAGTCGACGGAGGACAGTGAGAGCCTTTGCCGAACAAACGTAAGTTATTGTTATTTATTGTGAGGCGAATAGTGGGACGAATATTTTGATCTTAATAAAAAACAACCCAATGCCATGCGGCTCCTGTGTGCTGTTGGCGCCCCGGGAGCCAGATGACCACCACTTAGCAAGTGGGCCTCAAGTGAAGTTTCAGCTTCACCCGCCCCACCCGCCCTCGTGCTGCAGCGCAGTCGGTGCCCGACGACGGGCGGGCCTGACGGGGATTGGGCACAGACGGGGCGGGCCCGACACTTATTGGGTGCTAGAGGGGCGGGGCGGTCCCGTGCAGTGTGAGCCCAGAGGCGTTTCCGGAAGCGGGAACGCTCTGAGCCCGAGGCGAGGACGCTTGGAGACTGGTGCTCGGTTGTGGGGTGATGGGTTTGGGGCGCGAAGCCCACCCTGCGTTCCTGGGCTTTGTGGCGCGTCCTCCGTGCTGTTCCCAGAGTGGATGCGCGACGTGATCAATCTCGCTGCATTTATTAATTCTCCCGTCTAGACAGCATTGAAGGCCGGGGCGGCTCCTTATCTACGTTTGGCATCACCTGCAAGCGATACACTGAAGGAGCCACAACAAGCCCCCGCTAGGATCGCGACTGCAGGAGAAAATAAGTCCACCCAGAACCAGTCTGGCGTGTCCTTGGTTTATTTTCTTTCCAGGCCCGAAATGGAGGGGGCGGGGGATGGCCCCTGGATATGTCATGCCCAGGTCACTTGGTGTGACATTTCAAACCCCTGTGACTTGTTTTCTTGAAAACTGGCTTTAGTGATCGCAGGAAATAACCAAGAGATACTGAATCTCCAGCAGGCCCCCAGGCAAGCAGAAGGAAAAAAATCCCGGCAGGCTCAGGTTTTACCCTCTACAAATATTTAACCCTTTGGCAGTCTGGGACAGTTCTTTCCCAAAGCTAGCTTCCTGCCCTCCTTGTCTAGTTCAGAAAGCTGCCATCTACCAACCCACCAATCCTGCAACAATCTGACATTTCTATTTCCTTGGCCTCACAGGGCATTCCTCCATGTCCATTTTTTTGCGGGGGGGGGGGAGTGAAGTACATTAACAGGCTAGGGGACAGTTAGGTTATAGCTAGGGACTGGTAACAAATGTGCCCAAAGAGCAGCTGCAATCCAGGAGGATAGAGATGTAGAAACAGCTGCATGGGAAGTCCAGCAGTTTCACACCCATCCATCCCATAGTACCAATTAATGATGGAAGGCTTCCTGGCAATTAAAGAAAACGAGAAGAGGTGGGAAGATCGAACCAAGTTTATAGTTCACTTCCTGAAAGTCAAGGTGATGCTGGCACTTAAGGGAGGGAGGATTCCCTTTCTTGGAGGTTTAGGAAATGGCCTGCAAATGTAGAGATATGAGAAAGATACATATATACAGAGTTAATTAGGGCCAGCTTTACCTCTCAAGGCTGGTTCTTTGAGGCGTCATTCCCTTAACTTAGACCATTCTGTCCCAAGCAGAATACAGATTTCTTCTTCTTCTTTTTTTTTTATTTGATTGGCTATTAGATGGGAAACGAAACTTCAATACATCTTACTTTTGGAAACTTTTGATTATCAGAATATTGGGTTTTCACTTTTTTTTTTTTAAAGAATGGTTCCTTAGGGAATTTCATTATTAGCGCTGGAAGTTTGCTTTTGACAGGGTACAGTATTTTACAGACATGTACATGCCTAGTTACTACCATCTTTCCCCCTCATCATTTGGTTTAAACAAACATCCAGTTTGACTTCAACACTCGTATGTGCCTTTTATTCCCCTGGAGCTCTATCCAGGTAAAAGTGGTGAGTGTGCAGTAAGATGTATACAGTAAGACATCACAAACTTGCTCCCATTACCGAAGGAGTGTGTACTGCTCTCAAGTTCCCGGGGGAAAGCCTGCAATGAATGTCCTTGGCAAGGTATCAGATCTACAGTTAGTTACATTAATAAATATCAATTTTACTGGTTCCCAGGTCATCTTTTAAACATCATTTGTAATGAAGTAGGGATTTCCTGGTAAATTAAATTACCTGTGACAATTACAACTTTTGTACTTTCTGCTAAGGTTTATCAGGAGCTGTAAAATCTCAGTTCAAGGTTAGAAGCTATGGATGGAAAAAGAGAATTATTTAATGTGAGTCACTTCCAGAATAAGATTTTATCAGAAGATTTAACTAATTATTTGCTTAGCACTATGAAATGAAGGTAGGAAAAAGATCCCAGAGACAGATTTTTTTGGCTACACAATTGGTACATATTGTAAGGCCACACAATTCTGGGAAATTCAGAATCCTTGTGGCAGTATTCCCAACGAATTTTAGTATTAAATGACTGTGGGACAGAAATCAGCCTTTCTGTTTCGAATATGGAGTTAAGTTAAAGCTCAAGCTTGTCAGAGATGGGAACAGCTGGGTTTTTAAATGACACATTGTTCTAACACTGCCCTTCAAAGATGTGAGGCTCTGCCACTTTTGCCTAGGGGTGGGCTCACATTGCCATGCAGTTAGTGGTGGTCACCAAAAAATGAGAATTAGCTGACTAGAAGCCTGCTGGAGGGAGAAAACAATGGGTGAGTAAGTATTTGTAGAGAAGCAAGTTCCCAGTGGAGCTTCGATAAAAGCAGGAAATTCAGAGTTTATTAAGCTGATGCAGGGAAGATTAGAGGCTTTTAACCGTGGGTCTGATTGATGTAAAAGTAAACTTTCTTTAAAATCCTGAGATTCAGTGCTACAATGAGGAGTGTGTGACCAATTGCAGGCTAGCACCTTGTTGATGGAGACTTAACATAGAAAATGCAGATAAACGGAGCTAGGTTGAGAATAGTGACCGGAGCAAGAAAGGGCACAAGGAGGTACTCCACTCACATCCAGATGTGGGGCTGGGCGGCTTCAGGTCCGAGCTAGGCAGGAATGCTAGGCAGGTTGTGCCTTTTGGCCACAGGACCGACCCTCTGGTCAAGAAGGTGGGCGTCTGGGGAAGAGTTTGCCCGATGGGAAGCTGCATATGTAAATGAGGTGACCGCAGCCAAGAGGGGTCAGGTTGGTGACCTGGAGGACAGTGTCCATTCTGACAGCCACCAGGAAAGATGCAGGTGTTTTTCACAGTTGCAAGGGCTGGGGAACACAGAGGTTAAGGTTTGGGCCAGGTCTTGACCTAGGCCTTATGGAGGCCGAGTTCCGGGTTCAAGTTCACACTGCACAGAAGACCAGAGTGTGGTGGGGCTGGGGAGGAGGGGACAGCTATGGCTGAGGACCGGGTAGGAAGCGGCAACTCTGAAGTGCCCTAGGGCTTTCAGAATGACTAGCTCTGCTTAGTTTGGGAATAAATTTGTCACCCCAGGTGCGCAATTTGGTTGCAAATGTCTGCTACTCCTGAGCACTCTTCCTGTCGGGTTTGCATTCAGGGCTCACGGTTGGGGCAGACGGTGTGTCCTGGCCCAGGAAGAAGCCAACAGCAATATGACTATATTGGACGCTTCCTACCGAGGGACAGCCGTACCTTTCGATTACCAGTCTAATTGCGAATTCTGGTCAGCTTTGGGAGGTTAATCACGCTGTCTCAATTATTTACAGCTTTTTTTTTTTTTTTTTTGCAAATTTCCGACCAGATAAGAGGTATATTCCATTGCGAAGCGTCTCACAAGAAACCTTATAAATAAATAAATAAATAAATAAATAAATGATTCCCCTCGGCTTTGAGGACCGCCCTCCACCGGATCCCGCCCGTACCGAAACCATGGGTGTCCCTCCCTCCAGGGAGATGGGGTGTGTAGAGTCCGGGCAGGAGCACCCTCGATGGCGCTGGGCTTGGTTGACATCAAACCTCTTTATTTTCTTTCGATTTGTAAAACAGTAAAAAGTTGAACACATGTAAGTCAGAAGCGCCGTGAAATTCCAAAAAGAAGTGCTCGGAATATTAAGTTTTTTTTTTTTTTTTTTTTTTTTTTTTTTTTTTTTAAGAAAGGTAAGATTATTTTCTTGTGTTGCCCAGCGTCTTGGGACAAACATCAGGTTTTGGGGTCAATTTCCACAGCCAGATCTTTCCTTGGTAATTGTTACCAATGTCACTCAGGCTCAAGGCAGGAAGGGTTAAGGAGACAGGCCAGCCCCCTTCCTCCTGCTCAGACAGAACTGTGTACTCATGACTGCTTATATTCAGAAACGGGGCCACCCTCACTGTTTCTTTTACTTCCATGTTGTTGCAAATAAATTATTTAAGAAAATACTTGATGCTTTCAGATTTAAAAAAAAAAATTTATTTTGAACACTAAATTTAGGTCAGTAATTCTAAAAGATCACAGTGCTATCTTCCAGGGAAGTTCCCCAGCACTGGCTGGGAACTCTAATTTCAAACAGTCCCAAAGCTTACTCAACTCCAAGTTTTAGAAGAAAAACTTAGAGCAGGTTAAATGTCTTAACACTTTCTCAAATTTGTGCAGCTTTAATGTGAAAAGCCAACACTGAAAACTGTTACTTCATTATAACAATGTTATTTGCTACTTTTATGTCTAATTTTACTCATATTACAAATGCAAATTACAGTATGGAAGTAAACAAATTCCAAAATATTGTGCATAAATGAAACAAACTCAATTTGCAAAATTAGGAAGAACAGTCCAGTATGTACAGTCTTTATAAATGGTGCCCAGAGGAGCATATCTACAGAAGGAGAGTATAAACACACCAGAGTCCCAGAAGAAACAATGTAAAACACTAACAAAGGTACTCAAATACAGAATTAGCTATAAAACATTTATTTTTTCTCTTTTTTCAAGAAAAATTGCCGGGCTTCTTCCCAGGCCTGCTGAGGAAATCTGTTAGCCAGCTCCAGGTAGTCCCCCAGGCTCCCACGTTTTCCTGAGGGAGACAGAAGAGATTAAATAGTTCTGAAGACTTAGAAATTAAGCTTACTTTGATATTAGAGTACAAATGGAACCATACATTTCAAGTTAAATTTGTTCATATTCTATAAACAAGGTGTTTGCTTCCCCTTTACACCAATCTATTATAGTATAAATGTTATAAATATGTATTTTACCCAAAATTCAGTTTGTGCTTCCAACAAATTCAGATGTTAATCTATATATAAATTGCAATCATAGGAAATATATTATATATTATGAAATATTTATTTTGGGAATCTAAAATAAGAAAAGGTAAAAGGGTGACAGCTATGTACACTTAGTTTTGAATAGGTACATCTGTATGTGAAGGGTGGTGACATTATTATTGCTGTTGCTGTTGTTATTATTATTATTATTGTGCTAGGGCCCAGAAGGTCCTTAAGACAAGGACCAGCTCTTCCATTGAGTCATAACCATGACTTAAATGTTGACTTCTTTTTCCTAAAATAATCTACTTAATTTAAAACATATGTTTAGGCCTAACTTTAGAACTGTTCAAATCTGGCATTCAGTATCTATCAAGCAGAGCAGCAGCAGCCTTGCTGACTTCCCAAAAACTTGGTGTAGTCACGTGACAGGGAGTCTGAAAGCTGAGACTGCTCCTCACTGAGGACCTGGGCACCCACAGCTACTTACACACCTAAGAGGTTACCTGGACAACCTCAAAATGCCTAGACACATTTTATGAGGACTTAATCTAAGCCAAAAGGGAACCCAAGACAAAGATATAAGCTGGTAAAGTGTCATCTTAAAAAAAAAAAAAAAAAAAAAGTTTTTTTTTTTTTTTTTTTTTTTTTTGAGGTCTCATTGTGTAGTTGTAACTCCCAGAGATCCACCTGCCTCTGCCTGCAGAGTTCTGGGATATTATTATTATCTCTCTCTCTCTCTCTCTCTCTCTCTCTCTCTGTGTGTGTGTGTGTGTGTGTGTACATGAGTTCAGGGGGCACTCTAAGAGGCCAGAGGCACTGGTTACAGGGGTGTTGTGAGCTGCCTCACAACTCCCTGGTGGGTGCTGGGAATTGAACTCTAGTCTTTGGCAAGTGCAGCAGGTCAGCTTAACTGCAGAACCATCTCTCCAGCCTCATTTCTTTTTTTTTTTTTTAAATTATGTAAGCACATTATGAACTGTCATTAAAAGTGCTGGAAACAAAGCAGAGAGCAACTGTCTGATTGCTGTTCTATGTGTGAAGCCTGCTGTAGATGCAGCAAGGGAGGCAGGAAAGAAAGAAGGCTGGGACTTCCACAGGCTTTGCTCAACTAAGCAAAGGGAGGCAGCTTCAGGTTATGGGACTTTGCTTTCCAGGCTCCTAGAGAGTGACTCATCTTTTTTAGGGCAGAAGAAAAAGGAAAAAAGATCATCTATATAGTTCTATTGGAAATATATATATGTTGCTCAATTAAAAATAAATACATAAGAATATTTGAAAAAGATTTTCACATGCTTAAAATAAAAATTAGACAACTGCACTGATTTCCTTCACATGTCCTAAAAGTTTAAAATAAAGAAAGGAGAGTAAAAAGGGGCTGTGATGAGTGAGGGCAGAACTGAACTTGCACAATGATTCTACCTGAGACAATGGTGCTAACTGTGATGCTGACTTGAACTTCTGGGAAGTTGCATAGCTTTCTGTTTACTTTTCTGAGTACCTGAGTCAATAAAGCCTCACATTTTTTTCATGATATTGTAACAGTTTTGTTGTATTTTCTTCTGTGTACTTTGCAACACCTGCCTACTGTATTTTTTTTTTTTTTTTAATTACAGAACCAAATTGTCTCCAAGTAAAAGCTTCTTGGGGGTTTCCCAGAGGATCCTATTGGGTAGGAGTGGGCCTCCTATTACTATTATATGTTTTATTTCATTTTATTTTTTGAGATATCTCATATAGTCCGGGTTGGCCAAGGGTGACTTTGAAAGGATTCTCTTGTCTCCACTTCCCAGCATGGGCATTATAAGCATGTGCCGTTAGTCCAGTTCTAAAGGGACACTTAATAAACACTATCAAACTGATGGAGGAAGGGCGTGGCAAAGTCTCAATTGGAACTCACTAATCAGAGACTCTGCTGCAACAACCAGAGACCAAGCTGTACCTCGATTATAGCCTGGGTAGGTAGCAGGCTATTAAAGAATGTAAAAATGAAGCTCAAAATTCTCCATCTCTCACTCTGATCATGAGAACACCTCAGCAGGAATGAAAGGACCAATGACCTGTGACCTTCACTACCAGGGCCCTGCTAATTGGATGGTAATTTTTCTCAATTTAAATTATTTTCAAATAAAATAGGTCAAATGCTTCAATTTTAGGGGTCTAGCTATAGTCATGGACACCTTAATTTTGAATATGGACAGGGAGCTCATGTTAGGTACTTAAAGCATTTGAGAGACATTCATGGGCCAATAGTAATGTCTATGACTGGCTTCCCTGTTGACAATCAGCATGAAATAGATCAGGTAAGGACACAAAGGTGGTTTGTACTTTTACTTCCAGAAGCTTCTCTGTAGATTCTTGTGATATAGTAGATTTCTTTACTCTTCAAGTATTTGCTATCTGGGCCTCACACACTTTAGTTAGGGATTCTAACTATTTGGAAAAAGTCATGCAAGCCCATTCACTTAGCTAACTTACACATGAAATTTAGTTTCAGTGGGACTTACCTTTGGGATAGGAAGATTGGTTATCCACAAGACCCGGAGTCTGTGCAAAGTCCTGTATGAGAAGAGAGAAGTGTGTTGAGAGCAACGCTCTGAACAGAACTATCTGCAAGGTCCCTCTAAGTGTGTGTCAGGGCCACAAGGGTGATCCAGAGCACAACACAAAGGCACAGCATGCGGCAGTGTGGCCAGACTCTTCAAAGCTGAACCGAAGTCTAGTGAGCACTACCCAGGGCCACAGTGCTGCCTACAATCACAACTGTATCCCACAAACCTGAAACTTAAGCCAAATAAGTGTACTATTTAAAGTTAACAATATTTTTTAAAAGGCTTTTTTTTGGGGGGGGGGGGAGGTTATGATCTTATTAATGTAACCCAGACTGGACTCAAACGAGTGATCCTCCTGCTTTATCTAGGCTCTTGAGGGCTTGCATTATAGGTGTGTGCCATTATGCCTAGCAAGAATTTTAAAAAACTATGAATATAACAGTCCTTATAATTCAGGACAGCCAGGACTGTGACACAGAGAAACTCTGTCTCAAAAGCAACCAACCAAACAAAACCCCCAAACCAAACCAAACCAAACCAAAAGTATTCTGCATCTAAATCGTAAAGTTTAATCATTTTACTTTTAGATGGAAATTGAAAATAAATGCAGTATATAAAATTCTTCAGAAACCTGTGACAGGCCACAATCTTATTTTAACATTACTTTCTAGTGATTATTAATCACCTGTATATGGAACCATGACACATTTATAAGCTGATTCAAAATAATTCATTTTCTTGAGCACAATTATTTTTAGGAAAAATGATTTAACTTCACTAGTCTAGTCTACTAATGTTATTCCAAATTAAGAAGTATCTTCTGTACCATTTAGCAGAACTGTATTAAATATGGTCTATTTGGGATAGTTGTAATTAATATCAACCACCTTTTACTGTAGCTTTGGATCTCATTCATATTTTTGTTTTTTGAGACAGTCTCACTACATAATTCAAGCTGGCCTCACACTATCATCTTCCTACTTCAGTCACTTGTATTTTTAGTTTTTTGTTTGTTTGTTTGTTTGTTTTTTAAAGAAACTAATGTGGTTCACATGGCAACTTATCTCTGTTGAGGCCTCTTGGCTTAAGCTATAAAAAGTTTTGCTCTCTCCCCAGGCCATGGCTTTCCTCCCCAGCACTCATCTTCTGTCATGCTACTTGGTCTTGTTTAGGAAAGGTCTAGAAGTTGGGTTTTATCTGTCTTATTCATGATACACCCCCAGGGTCTAGAGCAGAGCCCAGCAGAGTGTGCACTCAGACATTACCCTGAATGCAAGAGCGAATGATTCCATTGAAAGCTCTAAAGTGCATTTCCTACTCAATGGTGGAGATCTAAGAGCTGATGAAGATCCCTGGCTGAAATGGCGGCTTTGCAGTATACAATTCTATTAAGATTTTAATTTAATCACAAGCCAGTGTGAAATCATGCAGAAAATAGGACCCAGACTCAAATGTAACAACTAAGGCGAAAAGAGAGTATTTCTAAGTCTCCTTAACCTAGCTGCGCTTACTAACTGATCATTAATGGAGAGACAGGGAGTGCTGCCTGCGATAACGAGGGCTGGGAAGTCTTCAGCTGTCCTCTGTGGCCCCCAGGCAGCTGCACAGGCTCACACTCTGACAGAGGTATCTGAACATTAGCCAGTACAGGGACAGTGCACACAGAACTCTGCTTTCTGTTTCACTGTTAGGAAGAACAGGAAATATGTGCAGCAGGGAACGATTTTAAAGCAGAACATTTAAAAAAAATGGGACATTTCATAAAATAATCATCCATAAAGATATGAAAAATCCTAGTTTGGAACTGTCACCTTGGCTTGACTCTTGCCAGCTAATTTACATGTGGCATTAGGACTTTCCACAGCACCCATTTTGATTTTAGTCCTACAGTTTAGCCTGATCAGGCAAATACAAAGTTGTACTTCAAACTTTTAAATTAAAAAAAAAAAGCAATCAAGTAGGTTTTATCACCCTAACTTTGTACACATATGCAAACCATATTTTTTAAGTGTTCAAATAAACCCTAGTTTTTATCTTTCTTCAGCAGTTAGCCTCTGTAGCAAGACTAAAAGGAGCTCAAAGGAGCCTGGTGTCCTGTTAAACAGACCCCTAAGTACAAGTTTCCATTCTGTCAATGGCAAATGAGCTTTTTGCTTGAAATCCTCCAGGCAGAAGCATGCAGCACTCTACCCTGCTTCTAGTAATGTGACTTCAGGCTTTAGAAATTACTTCTGGAAGCACAGACATAGGTACAGATTTAAAAGCCGATTGGATTGGAGGGTGAACATAAAGCTGCCTCATATTTACTTTTCAGTCTCAAGTGTTTGCCCGTAAAACAAGAGAAATGAAGCATAAGGTAGAAAGTACCTGAATGAATGTGGCCAGTAAAACACAGCTCATCTCTTGTTCCAGAATGATCTTGTTCTGCAGGTTGTTGTAACTAGCAGCGATAAGGGAAGGGAACAGCACTTTGATGAGCCTTGGGTCACTGAAATACTGGAAAGGCAGCTGGCAGAGCTTCTGTAGCACTGTGGGGTGTCGGCCGGACTGTACAATTACCTACAACAGACAAGTAGCTGTTAGCGACCAAAGCCCTGGCCTGCTGGAGCCAGTCAACTGTTGTTGGTCTGAACCAGAGACCACACTGAAGGAGGTAAAGAAAGTCGCTTGACTCCTTACCGGAGCTTAATGCAAGTGATTTTGAAAAGAGCCAGAATTTTGTTTTTTGTTTTGTTTTTTTTTTTTTAAATCTAATTTCTCAACTTAAGAAAAAGGTTCCAAAGGTTCTGTAGCCATTTAACAACCGTACTCCACAATGAACAGCACAGCTTCTCTGGAGAGACATCTATGGAATGGGCTTAGGATGTAGTTTTAGCAGCACACCCTCAGGCCCCTCAAAGCAGTCGCCTGTTCCTTCAAACAGAGCTGTGCCCAGCAAAGTAAGATAGTGGCAGCAGTGGCCCTGCCCACTGCAGTCTCTGCCTGACTTAGCTCACTGCATGCAGCTAGATGGATTCCGTATGTAGACAAGCCCTGGGAAGAAAAGGGGACTGATTGTAGGGATGGAATGGTTCCAGCTAGTACAGGCTCTAAACGGCCCTTCCTCCAGTCCCTACTCCTTATCTTGGTTCCATCAGTGCCATTGAATCTAAAAGGAGAACTGTTTAGATAAATGAGACTGTTGTCTTGAAGCAGTCTGGGTTTACAACTGTGTACACTTTAATAGGGCAATGCAATTAGTGGACTGGCAGGGACGCTCTCCTAATTCACTCCCTAGGCCGAAATGATAAACTAAGAAATGCCAAAATCAGATCTGTTTCAAGTAACTTTGAGCGAACAATTCTAATATGAAAGAGCAGGGTGACCCAAAACCCACTTCGTAGTACAGGAGGAAACCCAGGGAAGGTTGGGACACTGTAAAACCCTAAGGTCAGGACTGTAAATTGTACTCGGAAAAACACAATTTTACAGGTACACACCCAGACAGGACGGCATTCAAATTGAAACCAGAAGGACAGAACAAAACAGCAGAGGCAGGAGAAACATAAATTACTGGGATTTACAAGTTTTCAAAGTACTTTTAACAATACTTTAAGAACACATTCTCAGATGATAATGCAGTGTGGTTTAAGAACAAAATCAACAAAGTAATAGTTCGCATATTTTTGTTCAATAGCTAATATGACATCAAAAACCTTTAGAGAATGTTGATAGGGACCTGTTAATACCTTCAAATCCAAAAGGAATTTTAAAGACTCACATTGTGACAATTCTGCACATGGCTGTGTGATGCCATTTCTGACACCAACTGAGAAAAATGTGCTGTTGACCTTATTGATAAAGCTTCCACTTAAATCTTTAATTATTAGTTACATATTTTGTAGCACAGCCAAATGGTCACCACTTTAGAATTTATAACGATGCTATTATGGAAATTCTTTTTTCCCCCTTCTTTGGGCAAAAATTAAGAACAAGTTTCTTTTTTTTCCTTGAAACTTCATTGTTAAAATGCAATTATTGGAAGATTCAGGATTTCAAAAGGCATTAAAAGGGGCCAGTGTGGCTGGCATAGACAAATGTTAACTCAAAGACTTCGGCTCCCTGGTCCTGGTAAATTAGCCAAGTGTGAGAGCATCAGCTGAGATCACTGCACGGGGCCTCCTGAAGCCCTCAAGGAACAGCATTGACTGTCCATCACCTGTTTATAAAGTGCCTTAGCGAGCTCACCAGCAGGCAGTGAGGTGACCTGCAGGAGGCCACTACTTTTAGGTCTTTGGACTGGACAAGATGCAAATGCACACAGGACAGTTTGGTTACCTTGTGTTAAGAGCTATAGTCATGAGATTGATTGCCTAGGGAAAGGACCTAACCTTGTTATCTGTACAGAATCTGTAAGGGCTGACGAGACCCTCACTAGCTTGGCTGTGAGTCAGTGGGACACTTCAGAACTGTGGGGAGGTAGGGTCAAGAGGTCCAGAAAGTGCACTAAGACTTGGTAGGATAATTCAGGTGGGCCTGTGGCAGAGAGTATAATGCAGTGAACATCAACAGTCAGCTGCATTAGGTAATTGCTTCCCCCAGGGGGTAGGGGGACCAGCCTGGGAGTATAAATATCCTGACTTGGATGCTTAGGGCTTCAAGCACCAGAAGAGCTGCCTGTGGGGCTTGTGAAAGATGCCAGGCTGAAGGCAGGCCTCGGTTTTATTTCCCCACTCATTCCCAGGGCTTGGGTGATCAAATATCATCCTGGACCGCCTCTCAAACTTTCCAAAGTTGGCAAGAAGTTAGAATAATCATGGAGCACAAAGGTCTTCCTGAATGTGCATAGTTAATCAGCTCAGACTTGCATTATCTGTGGACCTTCTTGATGGAGCTGTAACTAAGTCAGTGTGACCAAAGGATTGTTTCGTTCAGACAAACCACTAGGTCCTAAGCTGAGCACTGACTCTGAGCCTCATCTTTCAGCATACACAGGTTAAAATTGGATTCCCACAGAGCCTCCTTCCAGAGAGGCTGGATATGGAGTAGTGATATGGAGGGCCCTGGCTGTATGCTTCCCTTGATGGGCTAAAGTTATTAGCTAGAAATGGAAGTCAGGAGAGGTACAGCCCCAGTAGAAACAAGAAACTCTTTCAAATACGTTGTCTACTTTCAGATGCTGAGTTGGGCTCCAATGCCACCAAGAGAAGCCTGGTGAGGTGGCCCAGTCACCCACATGGGAAGAAGACATGGTAGAAAGAAATAGTTAACTTCTATAAATTGTCCTGGAACTATCACACAAGCACTATGGGCACACAGGCACTGTGGTGTACTCACATTGTACACACACATACACTTGTGCACACACACAAATAAATACATAAATGTAATAGATCAAGAGAGATGGAAAGTGACCTTGACCTCAAATGCAGTTATAAAACAGGTGCTTGACAGGTGTAGTGGTGCACACCTTTAATCCCAGCACTCAGGAGGCAAAGGCAGGCTGCTCTCTATTGAGTTCAAGGCCAGTCTGACTTACACAGTGAGTTACAGGATAGCCAAGACTACATAGAGAGATCTTATCTCATAAAACCAATAAAATAAAATAGGTGCTAATCAAAGAGAAGGAGATCTGGAGGTCTGCCTTTACTTATCCAATAGCTGAGTTGTCTTTGGCAAACTGTTCAATGGCTTTGGGTTTGAAGGTAGACAATGTTTTTAAAAGTAATTTCTTTGAAGTTTTTCTCACATCCAAATCAAATAGCTCAATTTCATAAACACAGCAGTATTACCATGCATCCCAATAAAGTAAGAAAAATGGCCAAGAACTCTGGAGTTTTCAACATACTCTTTCTCATTGAAAGACTTTATTTCTACATTTTAAATTTGAGAAAAGTAATATACATTTTAAGGCTTTGCAGCCATCCTTCAATCCTGCTCAGGGCAAGGGCCATAGCAGCACAGCTTTTCTGGTCTCCTAAGGAGAGGCCAAGGGCACAATGATGTGTTTTTACCCAGTTGCCCTATGATCCATAGGATTTTCTTTAGTGTCCTTGATGAGGGGTCACAGATGGAAGACAGAGCACCACAATGTCTACTCTTTTGTTAATAGTAATGATTCTGGAAGTCATAGCTTTAGAAAAAGGAAGCAGAATTCTAGAAATACGTAGAGAGGACCAGGAGGAATTGGATGCCAGAGAAAAAGAACTCTAAAGAGGATGGGGGTTGGGTGGGGCCTAGGACAGACCAGTGAAATTGGTAGTTCTTTAATTTGCTTTGGATCCTGGCCATGCACTAGGCCTCTGGCACCAACCAGAGAGTGCTAACTTCAGCAATCATTTCCAGTGTGTGTCTCATGCCAAGTGATGTCCTAGTGCCAATGGAACAAAAGAAAATAGTGTTTTTTTTTTCTAACACACAAGTGAAGATGCAATATGCTGGACAGGATTAGTTTGATATTAGTTTCGTTGGAGATGGGGTATTTATACCAGTAATTATAATACAAGGAGTCTGGTGAGGGTACTGTACTGTGGGAGGAGAGACTTCCTTGTTCAGGTTCTCTAGAAGCTACATTGAGAGGGTAGATTATATGTGGGAGGCTGGATAAGATGCAGGACTTAGAAATAGGTGGAGGAATTTCTGGTGGAGAGAAAAACTCACGGATTCAGTATCAGATTGTCTTAGCTGACCACAGCAAAATACCATAGGCTGGAGGGACATAAATGACACACGTTTATCTCCTACTGAGGTCAGAGTACCAGTATGGTCAGGCTATCTCAAGGACCTTCTTTTAGGCTACCTAGCTGTGTGCTCACATAGCCTTGCCTTGGCTTAGTGCAATGGAGAGTATGACACTGTTATTACTCCTGTAGTAAGGCCACCAATTCACTGCCCTCAGAATGATGTCCATTAGAAATGCTGCCATCACTCTCCAGGGGAATAGCTTTCCCTGGGCTATGCTGTAGGCACATTGCAGGCTTAAGAGTGCTGGCCTTAGGCAGCTGTAGGTTCGAGGTCTGCTTCTGCTTGTGATCAATATAACCACCCTAACTAATTTAAGTACAGAGTCTTTCCCATAAAACAGGTGGCTGGGAGCTTTTAAGGTTTAAATGTAGACCTGATATGTCCATACCTACAAAGCACAGACAATGTTAGTTAGGGACACTGGCTATCTCACCAGCTCTGTCCTGGTTTTTCTGATGGACCAGGATCAGAGCTCCCACCCAGCCTAACAATGCTTTCTGGCATTCCCTCCCCCATTTCTTTAGAGCACAGACTATGGCAGAGGCTGGCTTCAATCATCAGCAAGCTTAATGTCACCTGAGAAGCCACTGCTGAGGTTGTTCTCTGGCCTTGCCTGTGCAGGACAGAGCTATGCAAACAGTGCTTGGGGTGCCAGCCAGGATCTTGTGGTGGTGAAATAGGAAATGCTTTCTGACAGTTTTGAAAAGAAAATCCTTGCAGAAGCGTGATCCAAGAAACACAGGGAAGTGGTACAGAGCAACAGAGGCTTAGCACTCTGTCTATGTCTCTCTGTGTCTGTGTGTCTGTCTGTTCCCATGACTTTGAGGCTACTGTGT